GTTAAGTATTATTATTTACTAATTATTGTGTATTTTAATTTTTTTTTACTTTTCTTTTTTTTTTTTTTTTTTTTTTAAGTTAAAACTCAATGATCTTCCAAAGGCGATGTATTATTAGCCGTATTATCGATTTATAATACCAAACGTGTAGTTTTTACTGTGGTGTAGCGTAAGTGTTGACAATATTACCGAACACAATTATCCCCAGATGTTTATAATTCTTATAATCTACACTAGATCAAGCAGATTTTAATTCTTTCTTACAATTTTTTTTTTCTTACTATATATGTATGTTTAAAAATCTTGTTTGTTGTTACGATTATCCTTGGTACCTGAAGTATGATTATGTACTTAACCAGGGAAGGGTAAGATTCAGTTTACATTGCATATATAGGAAATTCTTCCATCTTGTCACATCTTGTTTGTTAACGAGAAATGGAAATGTGCGTGTACTTGTAAAAAAGACTCGAGCGTTTATATATTCTATATAATTTAAATCAAAAATTGTTTTCGCTCTTGTAAACGTTCCGTCGGTTTTTAATTATATTTTTTCAACCGACCACAACCTCGTGCAAAATTCCGTTTTATTCGATATCGGTTCGAGTATTCCGCCGAGAGACATTGCATTGTGAACAAACTGTCTCTTCCAATAACTTCATAGGATACGCTTTCACAGCGCTTTCTTCCTGTCGTCTTTAGAATAGAACATTATATTAGTCAGCGCGAGAAATATAGTGTTTGCGAAAACTGCCGTGCCTCCTGCCTCACGTACGACTTCCAACTTCCAACTTCTTTTCGATCCAAATTTAATTCCAGGAAAACAACGGTGCCTAAAATGGTATACTTCGGAAAAGAAAAGAAAAGAAAAGAAAAGAAAAAAAAAAGAAAAAGAAAAGAGAGAAGAAAAAAAAACAAAAAAAGAAAAAAGAAGAAAAAAGCTAAGCCTAACCATTAGGTATATATTTTGTATAATTCTAACTAGTGCAATATAGCGTTAATCGTATCGACAATAGTTGCGATTGTTACTGAAGAAGAACGAAGATGGAAGAAGAGAGAAAAAGAAAAGAAAAAAAAAAGAAAAAGAAGGGGAAAAGACAAAAGAGAGGAGGTATTGCGAGCAACCTTGGGAGAAAAACGTTTGTACACTGGTGCGATAAAAATACGCATAAATGATAATTGTTTATAGCGGCTTAATTAATTGTGAAGAAAAAAAATGGAGGAGAAAAAAAAAAAGAGAAAAAATGCCGGCCTTTCGTCTGATGAAGTTAACGAGAACATTTTTTTAAATGATAAACGTAGTTTGTACTTATATAGAATATAGTTGAAATGAACGAGCAAAGAAAGTTTGTTGCTTGCCAACAACAAATACGAAAACGCTGATTATTATTTGTCGTCGAATCGAAAATTTTTGAATAAAATTCGATGATTTCCACTTCTTTTGGACGCGTGTCAACGATCCAACCAGCCAAACGCGATCGTTGAAGATATACAATTTACACAGTAACCGACACGAAGATGCAATCATGAGAATTGATTTTGATCTTCACGAATAAAGAGTATCGAGGAATTATTAGCACTCGTGGATTCGTTCGAAGAAATTATGCCTGCCATTTGCACGCCGTCGATGTGAATGTAAATTTTTTAGAGAGAGATTGCAGTAATATGTCTATTGAGGGCGTAGCGCGATCTGGCGCTTCCCTCTGAACCCACATTTTTCTTGTCTCGAAGGGGGGAAAGGGGGGGGGAGGGGAGGGGGGGGGCGAGAGAATTTTCACGCGGAACGAGTTTGCGAAATGTAAAGGGTTGACGATTTATAATCGTATTACTTTATATCGATCGAGAGTGGAATACTATATTTAAAATAGACGTATATAGTGCCTTTTCTCTGGGACTTATCTGGGATTTCGCTCTGATTATTTGAAATTTGAACGTGTTAGGAGGCACATTGGCATAAGAATTTCTAAATAACGATAAGTTAAGTTGATAGAGTAGATAAGACGAGAGTTGTTTTTTCTTCTTCTTCTTCTCGTTCCTTTACGTTTCTCTTCTTCTCCTTTTCTTTTCTTTTCTTTTCCTTTTATTTCCTCTTTCATTATTATTATTATTATTATTATTATTATTATTATTATTATTATTAATATTAATATTAATATTATTATTATTATTATTATTTCTTTTCGTTGCGAGGAGTGAATGTTTGATGCCACTGCCTCTAATAGCAGCTGTTTTTAAACTACTTTTATACTGTTGATGTGACGCGCAGCTAATCAGAGTCAGTATATTACTGCCATAATCATGAAACGAAATGTATAACCAATATACCTTTATAAATAAAACACGACTGAAAAAGTAAAATGCCGCATTTTACTTTCAATTTGTTGTGTCTCTTGTGTCTCTCAATGTCGCATCTACATTTCGATCATTTATCATTATTCAGTTATGATACTCCAAGATATTTTTATGCTATAAATATTTTTATGACGAATAAAATACTCGTCAATCAAGAAACGAGGCATCGATCGAAACATATCGACGATCAATTTATCTTTATATGGAAAAATACACGCGTTACACAAATATAGGCAGGTACACATATCTCTTCCATGAGATCTCGTCACGTTTTAACGTAACGTTAAAGAAAGGAAAAAAAAAAAAGAGAAAAAGTAACGACGAAAAGTAAGACGGATGCAGGGCACACGAAGTGGCTCGACAAATATGTAGCCGGTCCATGGCTGCGTCCAGCACGAGCTGCACCCGTTTCCCCATAAATTAAACCCGTGATCGACTTTCTTAAACGACATCGACGTGACGCGGTATGCGTTTCTTTCGGCCCACAGCTAAGGTTATCGAGTTCCTGCTTCGATACGGCCGGTTTACCTTGCCGCACCCGTAAACGTTGGACATCCAGCCCAACGCTGCTTGCGTTTCTACCTTTACAATACCACCTAGTATTATTCGCAAGCCGAGATAATGGAGATAATCGCCCCTTTGTCCAATACTTCTGCTTCCGTCTCGGCCTGAACGGAGCTAACTGCAACTTTCATTAGACGAGTGACAATCGAGAAAAATCGGGACTGAGGATCGTATGAATAAAATTGGAGACGAGGAAACTGATTGTTAACATCCTCGACTTTTATCTCTTCTCTTGTTGCAATTTTAAAAATATGGTGAAATAAAAATGTACACGGACAATTGTTAATATTATAATATTTTGGCGGTGGCATAAATAATATTCAATTATTGAATTTCAAATTTTATAATTTGATTATAATTAAATAATAATTGTCGCGTGTTTTATTTTATTACGATGTTTTTTAATTACGGTACTAGCGATTGTGGGTTAAATACATGGGTATTAGGGATAAAAGGGATGAGATCTATCACATTATCGACATAAAATTCGTTTCGACAGAAAAATAATATAGATACATTTATAGTATTATTGCGGTAAATACATAAACAAGTGAAACGATAAAAATTCTTGTAACGTATCGTGTAACTTGTTTAAGAAGGAGATGATTTACATGTTCGAGGCAGTATTTGCAGTAGGGCATGAATCACGCCTAAACGATCACGTATCCTCCCTCACGGATCGTGGGATCCTCCTTAGCTTGCTTGCAATAGCATTGAAGAACGCCAAAGGCTAAATGAAAGTAACGTGACCCCGAAGTGCGCGGGATAGTGTTCGCATTTGTAAAGGAAATTGCTATGCAAAACGCAGGGCGTCGACGCCAACAGAACCGATTAGAAGAAAAAAAAAAAGGATTGAATGGCGTTTTCTTAAATAATTTAATAGATAATTCATTCGTGGATATCGATTGGGTCAAAATTTCAGGGAATGTTAGAAATTTATTTTAATAGGAAATTTTGTTTTATTATGGAATTGCACAAAATTTAATTATTATTTTTTGATAAAATTATTGATAAAAAAATGAAAGAGTTTCTCCGTTTCATAGTATTGTTCGCGAATACTAAGAGGAGAATGAAAGTGTAAGGTTTTGCATTGGAAATCTGGTCTATAATTAAAAGATCGGGTGGAATATTTTCGAATTATTTGAGGGAAATAAAAGTTGATCCAATCGATTCTATAAATTTTAACATACACATTTGCATGTAATTGCGCTCGTAATTAAAGATAATGCAAATGGGCGAAAAAATCTTTCCAATTGGTAAGATAAATTCATTAATTTATTCATCGTTTCTCTCTTGGTAATTTATGCAAAATTTATGCACTTCACAGGAAGTTCAATCAGTTTCACGTGAGAAATCTTGTAGCAAGTAAGATCATGGACAAGGTTCTCGTCACTTACAATCTCTTAATTATAAATGCATGATCGAGTATCTTATTTACCTTTTCCGTTATTAAACGCAATATGTAAATTTTCATCAATTTGTTATTAACGAGTGCGTTATTAACCTTCGTTTCTGATTCTTAACCTTGATTCCTAAATGATATTCGACTTAATAAATTATGATTCTTTTTAGAAATTTTATCTTTTAAATAAATAATTCGAAATATACGAGTAAATTAACGAGTATTCTAAGAAGTGTTTAATAAGAAGGTTAGTTTTTCTTCAAAATAAATTACAACAAATTGCTATGATACAACACATCAAAAATTTACATTATAATACACATAACAATTTCTCACGTCGATTTTATGCTTTATTAATTCTGATAAAAAGAAATTCACGAATTAACAAATTTTTAAATTATAATCCAATTATATTCCATCTTATCATATCCAAAAAAATCAATTCCAAAATACCAATCTCAAACCAATATTAATCTATATCAAGAAAAAAAAAAATTACGAAATCACCAATAATCAATTTTCTCTCAAATTTAAAAATAAATTTTCCAAAATAATAATCTTTCAAACGCACATAATAAAATTTACACAATTTTCGCCTTTCAAAATCCTACAAAAAAAACACAACCCTTATTGTCATTCTCTCCCCCTCCCTCTTCCCCCGATCACCCTCTACTTAACTCTTGCTAAACGTGTAAGAGTAACCATCCGGAGTCCTGTTGAAGTTCAGCTTCCCAGGTGGATAAAACCTTCGTGGGGGTGGCGTGGTTATCGCGTTGTATTGCGGCAATGGTCTGACAGGGGATTGGTATTGCGGTTGAGGATTGTACGAAGGGATAGATTGGATTTCCGGTGGTGGTTGAGGCCTTGGTTGATAGTGTTGCTGCGGTTGGGGTTGATAAGCTGGTCGAGGTTGAAATTGAGGCTGAGGCTGAGGTTCTGGTTGCACTTCGTACACTGGTTGACTCTGGTGTCGGTATTGTTGAGAGGATGGATTGTAACGCGGTGGTTGATAATCGGGTGGGTTGTACTGCGGCAGAGGCACGTACTCTGGCTGAGGCGGAGCTTGCGGGGGTGGACGGGAATGCCGTCGCCTGTCGCCTGTTCGTTCGAATAAAACAGGGAATTTGGATTGGAACGACGTTCAAACGAAGTGGCAAGCATTAAATAAAATATTATATTCATCGTTTAATTAATTTTTCGTTGATTGATCATGAATTGTATAATCGATATAATGTTATATTCCATTATTTAAATTTGCTTGTTTTGAAAAAATGTTGAATATTTTTTTTAAGAGATAAAATAAAATTAAATCGTGTGAGATTAACATTACCTGGAAGCCATTTTTGCCAGCCGTGTATGTCACTGTGCGTCTTTGACCGGTAGGATCCACGTAGGAGTAAGAGCCACGACGATTTCCGTAAACGTCGCTTTCCTCCTTGAACTCGACGCCATCCTCTTGCGAATAAGCGGCGCCGAAAGTTCCATCCCCAGCTAAATACCTCGCGTCGCTCAGAATTGCAGCTTGTTGGGGTGACTGGTACTGATTATTAGGGGATTGACAGGAGATCGATGCGATCGTGCAAAACAACAACACCTGAAACTATGAGAATTAAACAAAAAATCTGTAGAAGCAATGTCGTATCCATCTTTCCACGAGTTCAAACCGAAAGAAATTTGAGTTACATCACGATAAAATCGCGGCGTGTATTACAAAGTAACAATGGTCAATGGTGGTGCATTCATTGCATAGTTTCAAGAGTACGCCACAGATGCAAAGAGGAAGTGATCGACGATCAAACGTTGACAATGCATCACATGAAGAGTTTCGATGTATAATCGAGAGAGAGAGAAAGAGAGTACTTACGAATACGGCATCCATAATGGAGGAACAACGACAACGGGGCGACGAGAAGTACAACAGTGCTCGAAGGATCGTCGAGAGGGGCGTTTTATACGGCAGATTGGATCACGTTGACCTGAAGAGGCCTTGATGGCCGCCCGCGCGCCCCGGCTACGGAATAATGCAGATTGCACTATGATCTTCTACCACGCCTTTCCATTGCCACTCGGCTTTCCTCTTGCTAACGTACGCTGACATTTCTCGAATCGGAACTGTTACACTATTGCACTAATAATAAATATTATTATCTTTATCCTAGTGTTAATATTTGCAGTCATTTGCCAGTTTCCTGAATCATTATAGGAGTGCTGTTTGCAATCCATATATTTGTTAATTTACATTCACAGACGGGGGATGTTTATTCATGTAAAATTAAGAAAAATGGATATACACATATTTGATGACCATTGAATTACTATGTACGTAATAATTAATGTATAATGTATAAGAATAAATAAACATATACTGTAATTTATTTGCCTATATTTTTTAAATTATAAGATCAAGATACATTGTAGTTTCGAAAGAAAAATGACGAAAGTGTGTTCAATCGACATCCTGTATTTATAATAATTTGTATTGAATCACGCGCCATCTGAGAGACAAGGAAAGTAAATAGTAAGAAAAGGACAGAGATAGATTAAAAATTCGGGAATCAGCGCCATCTTCAGAGTGCCGCAAACGAAACACAAAAAGAAAGGACAGAAAATAGTAGAAAAAGGATAGAGATAGATTAAGAATTGACTTTCAGCGCCATCTCTGGAGTACTATCTGAAACTTCTTCTATTCAGGTTTCTGTATGTTTCCGAGAGAGGGCGCAATTTGTCAGTTCTATTAATTCATGAAATAAATAAGACAAGGAAAGTGAATAATAGGAGAAGGATAGATA